ACTTCTTTTAAAACCCAACGCCAACTGATTTTGTTGTGCTAGTACGGTCTATATAAACAAATCCACAAGGGCCGTGATGAGGGTTCGAACCTACGTCTGAGAGGATCCCAATTTTGTTTTGTGATGTTATCCAGTTAATATTTATGTTACTGGAGATAACAGTGATAAAAGTTATGGATTTTCAAAACATTATACGCCACTATCCAGTTGACTGCGTATGAGACCTGGGGGGGGGGGGCAGAGGGGCGAAGAGGACGGAAGAGGGAGGGAGAGAGAGAGAGAGAGAGAGAGAGAGAGAGAGAGAGAGAGAGAGAGAGAGAGAGAGAGAGAGAGAGAGAGAGAGAGAGAGAGAGAGAGAGAGAGAGAGAGAGAGAGAGAGAGAGAGAGAGAGAGAGAGAGAGAGAGAGAGAGAGAGAGAGAGAGAGACAGAGAGAGAGAGAGACAGAGAGAGAGAGAGAGAGAGAGAGAGAGAGAGAGAGAGAGAGAGAGAGAGAGAGAGAGAGAGAGACAGAGAGAGAGAGAGAGAGAGAGAGAGAGAGAGACAGAGAGAGAGACAGAGAGAGAGAGAGAGAGAGAGAGAGACAGAGAGAGAGAGAGAGAGAGAGAGACAGAGAGAGAGAGAGAGAGAGAGAGAGAGAGAGAGAGACAGATATAAAGTTAGAGGTGGAACAGGTTGGGGTAGCAGAGAGAGAGACAGAGAGAGAGACAGAGAGAGAGACAGAGACAGAGAGAGAGACAGATATAAAGTTAGAGGTGGAACAGGTTGGGGTAGCAGCAGCAGCAGTAGAGAGAGAGAGGAGACAGTTTATGGGCGGGTGAGAGCTGTGTGTGCCGCTCACGGTGGCACAAATGATCGATATCCTCCCCTACTCCGCCTCTCCCGTGGTGTCACAAACTCCTCGCTACACACACCCTTCCTTCAAACACCGAGCTATGGCGCCTTTAATCCTCCTTACCCCAAAATACCCACCCAAGACGCCTTAAGTATAATCTAAACACACTTTACGATCTCTTCACCCCCCCCTCCCCCCCCCCCCCCCCCCCCCCGAGTGCCACATTTACATACACCTACAATTGGTCCTACTAACGATGCCACAAGTCCATAATGCCTTGGTTATCTTGAGGTTATCTTGTAAGGACTCTTCCACGCCCTATCATCAACGAGGAAGGCCAGCTGCCTCTCCTTTCTTAAGCTACAATTATATCACATATATTACGAAGCTGATGTCATGCTTTCGTTATATAATGTGTGTGAAATATCTGATTTAATAAATAATTTTAATCGCTATTTGTCAGTACTTAATAACAAACTTATCCAAGCAAAACATATAGAAATATTCTGTAATAAACAAATAATTAGGGAAAGGAAATGGGGGAATTTGTAGAAAGTTAAGCCTACTGACAAGACCGAATCTGAGACGTTTCAGTCACTGAAGTATTAAATAAGACGATACCGGTGGCTGAGCGGACAGAACACTGGACGCGTGATCATGTGGTCCCGGGTTCTATCCCGGGCGCCGGCGAGAAACAATAGTTAGAGTTTCTTTCACCCTATGCCCCTGTTACCTAGCAGTAAATAGGTACCTGGGTGTTAGTCAGCTGTCACGGGCTGTTTCCTGGGGGTGGAGGGCTGGTCGAGGACCGGGCCGCGGGGACACTAAAGCCCCGAAATCTGATACCTGCCTCAATCTGTCTCACAAAGCAGTGTTTCCACGAGGGGCGTGACCAACTACCGCTCAAACGTAACTACTCAACACAATGAGAAATAAACAAATCCACAAGGGCCGTGATGAGGATTCGAACCTGCGTCCGGGAGCATCCCAGACACTGCCTTAATCGACTGAGCTACGACAGAGTCTTGTAGATTTGTTCATTTGATGCATCACGTTAGTGTGATCTCTGTGTGTAATGAGAAATACTGTTTATATAGAGCTCAGTTACTGTATCCTACCTATAATAGGCTAAACGAAACTTGGGAAGATGCAACATGGATGGTTAGGGATTGTCATAGGCCAGTCGGGGTCGGCTCCAGTCCCGCACTTGCAAATATCGACATTTGCACTCTTCATATTTTCATAAAATCTGAAAGAAAAGCACAAAGATTGTGTTTTCGGTATAATTTTGATGCTTATTCTTGCATCATAATTCAGGTTACAGTCTTTTCTGAGACACTGATAAAGAGGTGGAGGAAGGAGACGGTATAATAGATGGAAGAAGTAGAATAGAGAGGAAGAGGGGAAGGTTAAGAACAGGGGAACGCTGGAGAGAGACCCGGGCGCTGCCGGTTATTTCATATACTATACAAAACGATTAATCATACATTAATGCTAGAAAAAGTCTAAACTTCATTAATACTAGCTAGCCGCAGCTGATCCTTATCAGTGCCAGGTGCCGCAGCTGATCCTTATCAGTGCCAGGTGCCGCAGCTGATCCTTATCAGTGCCAGGTGCCGCAGCTGATCCTTATCAGTGCCAGGTGCCGCAGCAGCAGCAGCAGCTGACCCTCACCAGTGCCAGGTGCCGCAGCAGCTGACCCTCACCAGTGCCAGGTGCCGCAGCAGCAGCAGCTGACCCTCACCAGTGCCAGGTGCAGCAGCAGCAGCAGCTGACCCTCACCAGTGCCAGGTGCAGCAGCAGCTGACCCTCACCAGTGCCAGGTGCCGCAGCAGCAGCTGACCCTCACCAGTGCCAGGTGCCGCAGCAGCAGCTGACCCTCACCAGTGCCAGGTGCCGCAGCAGCAGCTGACCCTCACCAGTGCCAGGTGCAGCAGCAGCAGCTGACTCTCACCAGTGCCAGGTGCAGCAGCAGCTGACCAGTGCCAGGTGCAGCAGCAGCAGCTGACCCTCACCAGTGCCAGGTGCCGCAGCAGCAACTGACCCTCACCAGTGCCAGGTGCAGCACCAGCTGACCCTCACCAGTGCCAGGTTCCGCAGCAGCACCAGCTGACCAGTGCCAGGTGCAGCAGCAGCTGACCAGTGCCAGGTTCCGCAGCAGCACCAGCTGACCAGTGCCAGGTGCCGCAGCAGCAGCTGACCAGTGCCAGGTGCCGCAGCAGCAGCTGACCGTGCCTGACCCCAGCGCAGCTGTAGCGGGGGACCACTACCCACATCAGTAACAAGAGTGTCGCCCAGCCTGTCAGCCCAGTGGAAGGGTCCAGTAATGAGTGTCCACAAATAACCTAGTCGAGGCGTGCCGACACCCGGCCTGCATAATCACCTCCCCATTCTGGACACCCACAACACCCTCAGGTCGCTGCCTGCTATCTTGAGGTTATCTGGAGATGATTTCGGGGCTTTAGTGTCCCCGCGGCCCGGTCCTCGACCAGGCCTCCACCCCTAGGAAGCAGCCCGTGACAGCTGACTAACACCCAGGTACCTATTTTACTGATAGGTAACAGGGGCATAGGGTGAAAAACTCTGCTGCCTATTGTTTCTCGCCGGCGCCTGGGATCGAACCCCGGACCACAGGATCGGCCGCCCGGCTCCTTTTGGGTGTGGGTCTTTTTTGCTCACTACAAACTCCCACCAACACACAAACTTACCAGTCGCCTAATTTCAGACATTTCGAATGATCAATGGGGAAAATTATACGGGGAACTTGTGATCCTGTGGTCCCGAGTTCGATCCCAGGCGCCGGCGAGAAACAATGGGCAGAGATTCTTTCACCCTGTGCCCCTGTTACCTAGCAGTACAATAGGTACCTGGGTGTTAGTCAGCTGTCACGGGCTGCTTCCTAGGGGTGGAGGCCTGGCCGAGGACCGGGCCGCGGGGACACTAAAGCCCCGAAATCATCTCAAGATAACCTACCACCCGCCTCATTCTTAGTGACTAAGCTCACCATCCTAAGCCTGGACATACGTTGTCTTCAGATCGGACGATTTGTTAGGCCTTGTATTCATTCAACTTGTGGTATCCTATTTGTATATAATAGGTTCCTTGGGAAGTTAGCCCAAGCTAGCTTCGCACACCCAAGCTAGCCTCCCACACCCAAGCCAACTCCCCACATCCAATTTAAGCTAGCTCCCCACACCCAAGCTAGCTCCCCACACCTAAGCTAGCTCCCCACACCTAAGCTAGCTCCCCACATCCAAGCTAGCTCCCCACATCCAAGCTAGCTCCCCACATCCAAGCTAGCTCCCCACACCCAAGCTAGCTCCCCACACCTAAGCTAGCTCCCCACATCCAAGCTAGCTCCCCACATCCAAGCTAGCTCCCCACATCCAAGCTAGCTCCCCACATCCAAGCTAGCTCCCCACACCCAAGCTAGCTCCCCACACCCAAGCTAGCTCCCCACACCTAAGCTAGCTCCCCACATCCAAGTTAGCTCCCCACATCCAAGCTAGCTCCCCACATCCAAGCTAGCTCCCCACATCCAAGCTAGCTCCCCACATCCAAGCTAGCTCCCCCACACCCAATTTAAGCTAGCTCCCCACACCCAAACTAGCCTCCGACACCCAAGCTAGCTCCCCACGCCCAATTTAAGCCTCCTCCCCACGCCCAAGCTAGCTCCCTACTCCCAAGCCAGCTCTCCCCACACCCAACCCAGCTCCCCCACATCCAAGCAAACTCCCCACACCCAAGCCAGCTTCCCACACCCAAGCCACCTCCCCCATACCAAGCCAGCCCCCACACCCAAGCCAGCCCCCACACCCAAGCCACCTCCCCCCCACCCCAAGCCTTCCCACACCCAAGCTAGCCACCCACACCCAAGCCAGCTCCCCACACCCAAGCCAGCTCCCCCACACCCAAGCCACCTCCCCCACACCCAAGCCACCTCCCCCATACCAAGCCAGCCCCCACACCCAAGCCACCTCCCCCAAACCCAAGCCACCTCCCCCATACCAAGCCAGCCCCCCCACACCCTATCTATCTGCGAGCTGCCAAAGAAACATGGTAGCTTCAAGAAGTATTAAGAAGAAACATGGTAGCTTCAAGAAGTATTAAGAAGAGAGAAGAATGTCTAGAGACTAAGCATGCAAAACAAAGAGAATGATCTCGCACCTGACTCACCTGTGACCTTGTCTCTGATAAGTTTGCAGGACTCCAGTTCGCCTATAGAGGAGAAGAGAGAGCGGATCTCTTCTTGGGTCATATTCTGCGGTAGGTAATTGACGATAAGGTTAGTCTTGGACTCCTCGATGTGGCCGCTCTGGGAGGAATTGGACGAGGCGGTGCCATTTTGTGTGCAAGAGTCCATGCCGTTCATCATGCCAGACATCCACGACTCCACGCTCACTTTGAAGCTGCCACACACAAGAAAAACACATCAATACACAAACACACCTATCTTCTCACCCCAATTACAACTACTCTTTACAATGGCCTAAACTATAAACTGTGTATTCAGAGTCAATAACGTGGCTGAGGTATGTTGACCAGACCACACACTAGAAGGTGAAGGGACGACGACGTTTCGGTCCGTCCTGGACCATTCTCAAGTCGATTGTGAATCGACAAGAAGTTTCACAATCGACTTGAGAATGGTCCAGGACAGACCGAAACGTCGTCGTCCCTTCACCTTCTAGTGTGTGGTCTGGTCAACAACTATATATCATTATTAAAAGCTAAAGAGTTGCATCAAATCTAGTTTAAAAAAGTAATTTACATATAATTGTATTATGTCACACAAATCAACGCCTTTCAAGTTTGTATTCCTGAATACAAGAGATATTGCAATTATACAATTCTGGTTATTTAATAATTATAAATTCAGGGCAAGGGGCAACAGTCTATCCTAAATCACAAGTTGTTTCGTCTCATCACTCGATCATTAACCTTATGGCTTAACTACTACATTAACCTTATGGCTTAACTACTACATTAACCTTATGGCTTAACTACTACATTAACCTTATGGCTTAACTACTACATTAACCTTATGGCTTAACTACTACAAACACTGACTAATAAAAAGTTAAGTAACATGGTAATGCAATGTTAATAAAATAGTGCTAAACCCAATACATTTAGTAATTATTAGAATATTAATATACAAAGTTATACATGTCAGATATTAAATTATTAATAATTCACAATCAACTTGTAAGTAAAGGTTAGTAGATAGGAAAGAGGAGCAATGATCTTCCCGATAAACACCACAACGTCACAATAAATGTCAAACTCCAAAGATAAGCAATCATATTTATTTGTATATATACAATATATACAAATATATATATATATACAATATATACAAATATATATATACAATATATATATATATACAATATATACATATATACAATATTTGTATACTGTACAATATATTGTATATATATTTGTATATATACATATATACAATATTTGTATAAATATACAAATTAGATAAATTCTGTTTCCTTACACAATCAACAAACAATTATCGCCCGTCCACCAAACATGTGTTCCGGCACCACACTAGAATGTGTTGTAACCTGACCACAACAACCTGGTCAATCACCCCATAAAAACACAAGATTCAACTATCCGAACAAATCGACAAGGGCCGTGATGAGGGTTCGAACCTAGGCCCGAGAGGATCACAGACGCGCCTTAAGCGACTCAGCCCCGACATGGTAAAAAGAATGCATCACGCTATTGTGATTTGTGTAATTCATCCAGTGAGTAAGTTTCACAAATCTCTACTCGTCTTCACATGAAAATCAAATCTGAGAAAATTGGTTTCTGTGGCCCAATAGCACAAGACATCTCGAAGATGCAATACGCAAGTCTGACGGTCTCGCTTCATGCAGGTCGGCGTTCAATCCCCGACCGTCCAAATAGTTGAGTACCATTCGTTCTCCCCCCGTCCCATCCCAAATCCTTATCCTGACCCCTTCCCAGTGCTATATAGTCATAATGGCTTGGCGCTTTCTCCGGATAATTCCTTCCTTCCTAGACACTGCAGGGAGAAAGTATGCCACGGGAGGGGTTGGGGAATATCATAGGCACAGCGTGCACCTTAACTACAGGATTTCAAATACTCGGTTCCAATTTTATATTTCAATGTTTGGGTTATTTTGAAGTGCCTTCCATGTGTAACTTTTATACATATGTTTTTTTTAATATAGCTACACACAGCCTACAAATTAGTTTAATATTAACGAACGCTCACGTATAATATTTCAGGAACATGTTAACAATTCTTAACACGACCCACTCCCAAGCCGAACACCCCCACGACCCACTCCCAAGCCAAACACCCCCACGACCCACTCCCAAGCCAAACACCCCCACGACCCACTCCCAAGCCAAACACCCCCACGACCCACTCCCAAGCCAAACACCCCCACGACCCACTCCCAAGCCAAACACCTCACGACCCACTCCCAAGCCAAACACCCCCACGACCCACTCCCAAGCCCCAAACACACCCCCACGACCCACCTCAACCCTAGACTCGCCCCTACACCAGACATCTCACGACCGCACCGAGCATCTGACCAGTCATCCATAAGGGACTAAACCTTCAAAATCCTCCACTTTCTACCCGACTAAGCAGAGCAGTGACCATGAATCGAACCCTCTTGGCTCCGTCTCTGACACACAATGGCAGGAAGACTCACTATGCAGATGCCACTGACGAGAGGCTCCGACACCACTCTCACATTCGCTGAGTTTCTCTCGCTCCGCCAACCTCGAAGACGATAAACGTTTTCTTGTATATTTCTTTGTAAACAATGACTTTGGAAGAGACTTCGCGTGCACCATGTTCCATTCCCAGTCGCTCTTAAACTGTCTAATGCAAGGTACACAGTCTTCAGTTATTTCTCGCGCACACTACAGTAAATTAACACACACACACAATCCATTTGATTGGCAGTTGACAGGCGGGACCAAAGAGCCAATGCTCAACCCCCCGCAAGCACAAATAGGCGAGTACACTAACACCACACACATACAACACAGTAAATTACACACACACACATACAACACATATACAACACACACACACACACCAATCCAATCACCAACATTACTAAACATTTATTCCAACTACGTCATCAAGAGAAACATTTATATTACACTAATTCGGCGTGCTGAAGCTCTTTAAGACAGTATGAAGACGTAGATACACTATACCCCCCCTCTCACGGCACTACCTTTCATCAGAACACGGGCGGCCAAGACCTCTGCAGGTGTCCTTAGCAACGAGAGACTGAGCCCGGACAATGTAACCCAAAAGTCAACTAAAATCGGACCAAATACATCATTATTGGGAACCCCAGCCAGGCCAAACACCAGCGAGGACCCCAGTCAGTACATGAACACATTACATTATCTACGTAAGACACCGAGAATCTATGCAAGACACACCGAGAATCTATGCAAGACACACCGAGAATCTATGCAAGACACACCGAGAACCTATGAAAGACACACCGAGAACCTATGCAAGACACACCGAGAACCTATGCAAGACACACCGAGAACCTATGCAAGACACACCGAGAACCTATGCAAGACACACCGAGAACCTATGCAAGACACACCGAGAACCTATGCAAGACACACCGAGAATCTATGCAAGACACACCGAGAATCTATGCAAGACACACCGAGAATCTATGCAAGACACACCGAGAATCTATGCAAGACACACCGAGAATCTATGCAAGACACACCGAGAATCTATGCAAGACACACCGAGAATCTATGCAAGACACACCGAGAATCTATGCAAGACACACCGAGAATCTATGCAAGACACACCGAGAATCTATGCAAGACACACCGAGAATCTATGCAAGACACACCGAGAATCTATGCAAGACACACCGAGAATCTATGCAAGACACACCGAGAATCTATGCAAGACACACCGAGAATCTATGCAAGACACACCGAGAATCCAAGACACACCGAGATCTATGCAAGACACACCGAGAATCTATGCAAGACACACCGAGAATCTATGCAAGACACACCGAGAATCTATGCAAGACACACCGAGAATCTATGCAAGACACCCGAGAATCTATGCAAGACACACCGAGAACCTATGCAAGACACACCGAGAATCTATGCAAGACACACCGAGAATCTATGCAAGACACACCGAGAACCTATGTAAGATTCTGAGAATCATGACATGTTAATATGGGTCGCGAGATCCAAGACTAAATCCGCATACAGCTCCCAGAAACATTAATCTTCGTATACTGAACAGAATATACATTTTGCAACCACATCGACGGTATTCTACACTTCCTTCTCCACCCGCAGCAAAGCGATACAGAGGAGAGGGAATACACTGTATTCTTGGTCCCTACTCATCATCATAAGAGATTCAATAGCTCGGCAATCTGTAATTAGTAACTACCTTTCAATGATCTGTAAGGCAGTTCAGGAGTGCTTTACAATGATGTAAATCTCTAAGGTAATTGATTAAACACAGAGAGAGAGAGAGAGAGTGTGAGAGTGAGTGTGAGTGAGTGAGTGTGAGTGAGTGAGTGAGTGAGTGAGTGAGTGAGTGAGTGAGTGAGTGAGTGAGTGTGTATCAGTAGTTAACAAATGGAATGAATGAGAAAATGATGTGATGGAGGCCAACTCCATACACAGCTTCAAACTTACATACGATAAGAGCCCCAATAAGCTCAGGAACCTGTATTAACAGTTCAAAGGCGTGTCCTAAGAGCCGAAGTTCAACTCCCGCAAGCACAAATAGGTGAATACACGAAATTATATCACAAATTTAATATAAAATTTATGTATCAAGTAGTTATTCAAAACAAATGAAATGCGTTAAATAAAATGCTTGATGCTAATTACGCACTATTCTATACGCAAACAAAATTAGAATTAGATAACCGAATCATTTCATTACAAATGCCAGAGAGGCGAGATGTGAGGCCTGATATGGCCTCATAAGAGGCGAATAGGTGGGTACGCGCACACGCAGTTTGCCTACTGATCAGGCAAGGGTGGAAGTTGGAGAAAAATGACAATGCTAGATAAAACAGACAGCCAATCCATATGGCTCACAAACGTGAATTTTACGGCGTTGGCAAATGTTGATCATTTGGTTTGATATGACTGTCCGGTTCAGACAGTTAAGCAAGTGCCAGCTGTGTCTGGGTACAAGTGACAGGATGAACAACCCAGCGGGTTTTCTTCCTATTGGGGAGTGTTGTACATGCTACTATGGCGGTGTGGCCACTCACAGGATGAGTGGCGCTGCCCAATACTGTCACTATGGCGGTGTGTTTACTCACAGGATGAGTGGCGCTGCCCAATACTGTCACTATGGCGGTGTGTTCACTCA